ATAGTCTTTTGTCAGATATGTCTTTTGCAAATATTTTCTCCCAGTCTCTTTGGTTTGTCTTTTATTCTCTTGACAGTGTCTTCTGCAGAACAGAAAAATTTAATTTTGATGAAGTCTAGCTTATGAATTCTTTCTTTCATGGCTCATGCCCTTGGCGTTGTATTTGACAAGTCATCACCAAACCCAAGGCCATCTAGATCTTCTCCTTTATTATCTTTTAGGAGTTTTGTAGTTTTGCATTTTTCATTTAGGTCTGTGATCCATTTTGAGTTAATTTTTGTGAAGGGTGTAAAGTCTGGATTCTTTTTTTTTTCCTTGCATGTGGCTGTTCAGTTGTTCATGTGCCATTTGTTGAAAAGCCTACCTCTGCTCCATTGTATTGCCTTTGCTCTTTGTCAAAGGTCAGTTGACTGTATCTGTGTGAGTTTATTTCTGGGCTCTCTATTCTGTTGCATTGCTCCATTTGTTTATTCTTTCACCAACACCACACTGTCGTGATTACTGTAGCTTTATAGTAAATCTTGAAGTTGGGTAACGTCAGTCCTTCAACTTTGTTCTTCAATATTGTGTTGGTCATTCCAGGTCTTTTGCCTCTTAGAATCAGTTTGTTGACACCCACAAAATAACTTGCTGGAATTTTTGTTGGGATGCATTGAATCTATAGATCAAGTCGGGAAGAACTGCTATCTTGACGATATTGAGAACTACTGTGTGTTCGGCCCTAACCTTCGCCCTGGGAGGTAGGAAGTTGGAATACACAGAAGCACAGGAGAGGCTCCCTCCATGGTGCTGGCGAGGAAACTGCACCTCACACAGTGCCAGGCATACAGGTAGTGCTCAATAAATGGTCACTGGGGCAACAAGAGATGCTGAATTCCAAAGCGCCTGGGCCATATGGCGCCCATGCCATGCTAAGATGGGTAGCACAGACTCCCATCCCTCCAAGGGAGGACCTGGCCTCAGGGAAAACTTTGCGAGAAAGGCACTGTTGAGAAGGGAACAGGCCAGGTGGACTGGTCTGAGCAAGTCTCTTGATGGGGCAGCTGTGCTGATAGGGGAATTTGCTGATTTATTTATTTATTCATTCATTGAACAAATATTTATTGGGTATCTATTATGTATCAGGCACTAAGAGATCTCCCCCTCTAACATGTCCAGCCACCTCCTGCCATTCAGACAGGACAACCCTGCATAGATTTTCTGATGGCCTGATAATTATGGACTGGGCCTTGAGGGATGGCGGGGGGTCCTGTCTCCCAGCCTCGGGATGGTTGTGGCTTTTTCCTATTTTAAGGTTAGTTTCTTGACAGGGAGGAAGGTATCATGGTATGGACTAGGGTGGTCTCAAGTTGCAGGGAGCCCATTGTGGCCTAGATGAACCCCAGCTTGCCTTCCTGGTGGGGCCCCTCCCTGGGGCTGGTCCTGGGCTCAGCATCCAGATGCTCAGGGAAGGAAATCATTATTCTGTCAAATATTTTATTATTTATCAACGTGGAGACGCTTCAAGACTTGAACTGATCTGGGAGCTGGGAAGAGGGAGGGGAACCAGCAGGAGGAGACAGGCAAGGAACAAAAAGAGAAGAGAGATGGCCAGGAGAGGAAGTGACAAGAAGCAGAGAAGGGCGTGGAGAAGGGGCCAAAGACAAAGGGAGGGCGGGAGGGAAAGAGGAAGAGACAGAGACAGAGGGAGAAAGGAGTCAGCCTTAAGGGAGAGAAACAAGACAGAGGGAAGGGGAAAGAGGGGGCTAGAGCTGCTGTTGAAGGAGCCCCAGTTCTGCCGGACATCCCTGCTTGGGCTCCTCCCTCTCCTGCATGCTGGTGGGAGCACTCACAGCACCCACACATGCATGCACAAGGACACACGTGTACATCCATGCAAACACATATGCACCAACACCCATCCCCCTGGGCACCGCCTTCAGAATCTCTACCACTGGAGAGGCGGGGTTGCCACGGCGACAGGTACCGGAGCCCCACCTCATGGGTATTAATAGCTTCCATCGAAGTCACCGAAACAGTGATTTCATCCAACCTTGTCTCCCTGGCAGCTTCCTTCTCCCTCCTCCCTTCCAGGATGGGGCTAGACAGGACCCTTGGGGCCACACAGGCCATTTCCCTGCCTCCTGGCAGCTGCCTTGGTAAAGAATGTCCTGGAAGCCTCAGGGATTCTGCCCCAATGTCCAGTGGGAAGGGGACTGCTGGCGTTCTTTGATTCTTTGAGCTGAGTCTAACCACAGCCCCTGCCAGAAAAGGGTTTCTGAGACACAGGAGCCCTCTGAGGGCTCACTTTCAGCTTCTCGGGGTCCCATGCGGTCACGCCTGCCTTCTCTAGGTCTCTGCCTGGCTAGGCACTTGCATCCAGCTGACACTTGACAGTGGCCTCCCTTCCCACAGTATAGAGCTCCCTGGAAGGGCTAGGGCCAGGGCAGGGAGGGGGCGTGGGGTGCAACATTTCAGAGGCACTCATTTGTGACCCCGCGAAAACCCGTGCCCCCCTGCGTTTTACACCAGGGATGCCTCACTGGCCTCATCCTCTCCTAGCTCTGCTGATGCTCCCATTATCTCCTCAACCCTCTTGGGGCAGCGGAGGTTTCTTTTCTGCCCTCAGTTCCCCGCCTGGGTCCCCAGTTCCTCTCGCCTTCCTGTGGGACTCCCTGGGATCGGGCTGCAGAGCCTGTAGCTGCCTCTGGACTCCCCTGACAGGCGACAGGCACTAGTCTCTGGCCCTCACTTCCTCTTCCCTTTGACCTTCTCTAACTCTCCCCTGCTTTGCCCACAGTTCCAGCTTTAGGCTACGTGGGGCCAGTGACATCCCTGCTGTCTTCTCCCTTTGGGTCCTCCATCCCCCCACCCCCATCCCCTGGCCCATGCACCAGCTCCTCCTCCCTGGGGAAGGGAGGGGTGGGGCTCCAGGGCAGGCCTGAGCCTCCCCTCAGCCACCCTCTGCAAGTCCTACCAAGAGCCCTGCACTTCACTCACACTCCAGGGGAAGTCTGGTCTAGACAGAGCCTTCAGATTTATTCTGAGGCCAGCAGCAGTTCCCAGTTGACTTCACTGCTGCAGACTTCAGGGTATATGTGTATGTGTGAGTCTGCGTACGCTTGTGTAGAAGTGAATGTGTGAGAGTGCAGAGGTGTGTGTGCAAATGTGTGAGTGTGCTGCCATTCAGAGCCCATGGATTTCTGATGCATGAGTCATGGTTTGGGAGCGAGCCTCGAGAAGATATGCCCATAAATAAGACAGCACCCCTGACCCCCATGTCCATTCTGCAGCTGACTGGGCACGTGATCTTGGGCATCTAAGAGGCTGGAGGCAGGGGTGGGGGCTGTCTTTCCCTCCAGACCCCACAGCGCAGCTGTCATGGATATTTCTAGCTTGCCTGGAGTCCCAGACATTTATGGATGTGATGCCTGCAATGGGTGGGGGTCAGGGGGCAGGGGAGGGACATAAAGAGCTTCACTCCCTGGGATCTTAGTGGAGTTCTGCTGGCAGGCAGGCAGATTCATCCATTCCACAAGTATTTTTTGATAGTCTGTCACCTGCCGGGCACTCTCCTACGGGCTGGGGACATCATGGTGAATAGAGGTGACCTGCCCTCTTGCCTCACAGAGCTTATGTTCTAGTGGGGGAGGCAGAACATAAATAAGGGGGAAAGGCTACTTTCACCGTAATCCCTCCTCCCCCAAAAAACCAATAATGGTATGGGAAGTGGCCGAGGTGGTGGGGATTCTTTAGTTGGGGTGGGCAGGGAAGGTCAGGTGGTGACACATGAACTGTGCCTGAATAATGAGGAGCCATCACATGGAGACCTGAGGGAAGAACCTTCCATAAGAGGATGGATGAGATGCTTGTTGTCAGCTCACACCCTCACTGGATTCTGGATCAAAGTTGCTGAAGTCAGTCAGAGAACTAGAGGTGACCTAGAGGAGCAGGAAGGCAGATTCTTTCTCTGGGGGGACCATGGTTCATCTTCTACCCCAACAGACAGGGAGAAGGAGATATCCTACGACCAGGTAGAAGGGGAATGGCTCCCTGACCCCTTCCTGCAGGCTTCCTGGTAGCAGTACTGAGCTGGAGGATAAAAGAGTCATGTGAATAGATAACTTGCTGAAGCCCCTTCCTCTAGGAAGCCTTCTTTGATTGCTAAGGGCCACAGAGGCTCGGCTCACCCCACCTCTTACAGCCGACAGAACCACTCAGTTCAGAGTTGGTGGTTCTCTCACGGTTTGACCCTGAGAGCTGTTCCCCCAGCTTGGCCAGGAACCCAGTCTCCTAGGTCCTCTCTGTATTCACCCAAAGGCTCCCAACGCGATGCGTGCAGTGACCGGAGAGCCGGGGCTTCTTGTCCTGAGCCCTTGCCCCAGCGCACCCTCAGATGTAACTGAGGGCCAACGGTCAAGTGCTGCGGTTTCTAATCTCACCCCACTCATGAGTGAATCAACCATTCACTCATCAAATTTTTTTTTCTTGAGCTTTTACTGTGTGCCAGGCCCTGTACCTGGCGCCAAGGGGACTGTAAAGTAGAGCTAACTCGCCCTGCGCCCGGCACCCAGGGAGCTCAAAGTTCTTGCTGTTTCTCTGTTTTCAACCCCGAGCTTCACTATCCGTGAGAGGAATGAGCCCAACTCGCGGAGCCCCGGTATCTGCCTGGCCTCTTCCCCTGACCTGGGCCGGGCCCCCAGCGCCGCGGAGAACTTGTGGCAGCGGGAACGCGGCGCGCCCCTGGGCCACATCTGGCTGAGCGGACGCGCGCGTGTCACTAAGACGCTCATTCAACGGCGCAGCTGTCACCATAACAACCGGAGCGAGGGAATCCTGGCGACGGCGGCGGGCGGGGGCTGCGGCCGCGGGAGGAAGCCGGCGGGGGCGCCCAGCACGCCCCGCGCTCCACAGAGCCCCGCTCCATGCGGACCCGCCGGCGGGAGGGTGCCACGCACGTCGCCGCAGCGGCCGTCCCCGCGGGCGGGGACCGAGCCCGCCGCCAAGCCGCCCGGCGCTCGCGCCGGGAGCCCTGACTCTATGGCCCGGGGGGAGCGCGCCGGAGCCTCCGCGCCGCCCATCACCAGCGGGAACCCGAGCGCCAGCCCGAGGAACAGGGGAGCCTCGGGCGCCGCCGGCCCCGGCCCAGGGGCCCGCCCGCGGCCCCCGCCCCGGGGAATGGCAGGCAGGTAGCCGGCTCGCGCGAGGACCCCCGCGGCGGGCAGGCCCTGCCGAGGACGGCGCGGCCCCGAGAGAAGGAGGAGAGCGGCGGCCCGCCCGCCCCCGGCCGCAGCCCCGGCACGGCCCTCCGCCGGCGGCGCGCGCTCGCGCGCGCACCCATTCGCACACCGTACCTCCGCTCCTGCCCAGCCTCTCCTGCCCCCCGCGAGTGCCGAACCCCCTGGGGCCGGATGCCATGGGTAACAACTTCTCCAGTATCCCCTCTCTGCCCCGAGGAAACCCGAGCCGGGCGCCGCGGGGCCATCCCCAAACCCTCAAAGGTAAGGAAGGCTCCGCCGGGCCGGGCGCAGCCGGAGGACTGGGGCGCAGGTGGAGGGGCAGGGAGATGTTGGACAGGTGTAGTTGGGGAGGACGGGCAGATGCCACCTGTTGTGCGTATTTGGAGACTCGAGGTGCGCATCTGGCCCTAGAGGTGGGCCAGGGGTGGGGGGGCTGCTGGTGGTGATGTTGGAAACCGGGAGGATGGCGTTCCGTGGGGTTTGCGCAGTTTTCCCTGCCAGCACTGGGAACGTCACTGGAGTTAACTCAGGCCATGATGCTAGGCTAGCGTGCAGGCGTTGGGAAGGGCATTTGCCCAGTGGGTAGGGGAGTGTGGCAGGATGCTCAGGCTGGCCAGCTGTGCTTTTCAAGGGAGGCATCTCAGTCTCCTTTTTCATCTGCCCAGGGCTGGAGAGGTCACGCTGGAAGCACTAGTTGCATTTCCAAATGGACGATCTTAAAGATCCAGGACTGACTTACAGCAGCCTGGAAGAAGGGGCCAAAGCTGATGGCCTCTGGAGTCCTCTGCAGCTGTTGACTTTTTGCATCCACAGACTCAGCTTGTTTTCCGGTTCCTCCAAAGGCCAGATGTCCAGTTGGAACCTTAGAAAGGAAAGGCTGGGAGCCTTGAAAAAGAGGAACATTTACCAGGAATGTCTTTGCTGTCTAAATCCCCAGACCTACCCAGCACCCGCAGGGAGGCCCTAGGCCCTGTCCTCAGCCCTGAGGCTTCCAGTGTTGTCTCTGACCTTTGCAAGACCCAACTGGGTCCTCCCAGGCCCTCAGACCCCACTGATACCCTTCAGGAAGCTGCTTTTCTATCACCCTTAGAACCAGCTAGCACTTGTCCTGGGCATTCTGATGACTAAGAGCTAGGAAGGGAAGCCCCTGGTCTTCCACAAAGAACCATCCACTTCTTCAGTCCTTGGGTTGTGAGAAGGATAATAGTCATACCCCTTGACAAAGTGTTAAAGTTTACAAAGAACTTTCACAAACACCTGTTCATGTGAGGGAGGAAACTGCTCTGGGTAATCAGCAAAACTAATCGAACCCATTTTACAGTGGTGGAGAACCAATGCTTGTTTTATGTTCCTGAAGCCAGCGAGAGGCAGAGCTAGGCTGCAGAGCTGTATCTTCTGACTTGGAATTCTGTCCTCTCTTTCGCTGGACACTTAACTTTCCAGACTGGGAGAGAGGAGAGACAGGACCACTGTTCAGCGTTCTAACTCCAAACCTTTCAGAACTTCCACTCTCACTGGATTTGGGAAAATCAGTGGGTTTGTTGTGTCTTTCTGGAAATTAATATGGTGGTACATGTCAATCTTTTTCGTAAAATAACACATTCATTGGCCTTGTGATTCTCCTTAGAGGAACTGATCCCAGCAAAATGGAGATCCAGGCAAATACTTATGCATCAGGTGAAGATGTTCACGGCAGTGTTATTTATACTCGGAAAACAACCTAAATGCCCTGTAATCATGGTATATCCTCTGGGTGGAGTATCATGCAATCTTTAAAATTGTATTTTTGAAGAATATTTGATGACTTGGGAAAATGCTCAGTGCAGCATAATGACAGTTGAAAAAAGCAAGATACAAAGTTGTATAGGCTGTGAGATCCCAATTTTGTTAAAAAAAAATATGAATGCAAAAAAAAAAAAATCAAACCTTGGAAAGTTTCCAAAATGGTAACAATGGTTTTCCTCTGGGAAATGGGATCATGTAAGATTTTTTCTTTTCTTTTTTATACTTCACTCTTTTTAAAAAATTTCTACAATAAGCAAGTATTATTTTTTTTATCATCAGAAATAAGCTGTAAGTATTAACATGGATAGAGACTATTTCTGAGTATTGGAAACAGATTCCTAATGATGGAGGAACCTGTGGACATCCTCCCGTTCAATGTCCTCTCTCACAAGTGAGAAGAATGAAGGGAAGGGAGAGTGATTTGCCCAGTTACTCAGTGCGTCAGATGGCAAAGTTGGGCTGAACCCTTCAAGGATAGGGCAGCTGGGCCAGTGAGTTGACTTGGGGTTTAATTGCTCACAAACTGCCCCAAGAAGGCTGGCCTGCTCCATCCTTGACCCTAGGGAAGCCCAGAGAAGGCTTTGGTAATTGTACCCCTTTTTACCTAAAATGTGGGATTGTGGGGATGTGAGGTCTCTGTGGCTGGGGTCTTCAGCAAGGGAGGGAAGGGGCAGGAGAGGGTCTGGGATCCTCCTACCTCCCTACCCCCACCCCAACTTCCTCCTCTGCCTGACTCCCCACCTATGTGGCCTGGGAAACCTCCCTTATGCTGCCTCCCTGGTTTACAGGGATCAGTTTCTTCTTCTAGGGGACTAAATTGTGGTGAAATTCTCCCCCTAACTGTCTCCCTCCCTCTGCCCATCTCCCTTCAGGCTTGATTTACCAGAATCCACTCTCTTCTCCCTTCCCACACACCTACAGGAGGTGGCCATGAGAATTTTGTTTCTGCTCCTTCCAAGCCTGAAATGAAGGATTAGAGTGTGCCCATGACGGCCATCTATGGGTGCCCTCTGTCCCTTGCCCAGGTTCCACTGATCCTGACTTCTCCCCACCCTAATAAAGCCATCAGCTTTATTCTGTGATTGTTTTAGTGTCCATTCCAAATTCCCTTCTAACTGTATCAGCATTGACCTAGTAGTCTTCTCTGATATATCACTGGTCATCCAGAATTCCGTTCCAATTCTATTGGTGTTGACCTCAATCCTCGCTGTGATTCTCAGCCTGTCCACCCAGACTTCTGCTCAGATTGCTTATGTACTCACCCTGAATCCAGCTCTAATTCATATCAGTATCTATCTTAGAAATTTGCTGGGGGTGAGGAACTCTCGATTTTTTTCTCTCCTTCTATAATTGCAATCTCTATTGATTCCTCACCATTTTAATTAAAACAACTGGAAGGGGTCTGGCATAATAGGGACCCTGGGACACATTGGAGAGCTAAGATTGGTCTGGCTGTCAGTCCGACATAAAATGAAGCTCGCCCATCACCTCTCAGGTGGGAGACTTTGGTGTTCTCCTTGGAGACACACTCACTTCATTGTTGGTGATTCCCACTGGAGTCTGAACAGTGTTGGTCTAGGAGTATCCAGGAGAGAGATCCAAGGCATAGCTCTGGGCTTAGGACCAAGAGACAGTTACAAGGAGTTGCTATGTGCCTGGCCTAGAGGTGAGGGCTTCTGACATCCCTGTACATTCATAGGCTGAAGATCTATTTGAAAAGGCCAGGCAGATTTGAGCTGGACGTGGACGGAACTGCAGAAATTGGATAGGTGACAAGGGGTGCAGCAGGCGTGCTAGGGTATGGAGAAGAGGGTTGGGAAAGAGACATACAGCAGAGGCTTGGAGGTGGGAATCAGTAGCTGTGTGTATATATTCTCAATGAGGGGCACAGGGTAACTGGGGCAAGGGGCTCATGCTTCATGGAGACAAATACAGAGAATAAAGAAATTCCTCCTTTCCCAGTTCTTTCTGAGTGCCTGCTTGCTTGGTGTATGAGTTGAGGGAAAGGTAACTAGGAAAACCCTGTGGAGGGCTATCCAGCCCCAGTGATCACCTATAGATGAGGATTGGATGGGCCACCTCCCATCTTTTTTTTTTTAAATTGTAGTGAAATTTACATGAAATCTACCATTTTAATATTTTATTTATTTTTTGTTTTATATATTTTAGAAAGAGAGAGAAGGAAAGAGAGTGGGGGAAGGGGCAGAGGGAGAGAATCTTTAAGCAGACTCCCTGCTGAGCACGGAGCCCAACGTGGGGCTCAGTCCCACGACCCATGAGATCATGACCTGAGCCAAAACCAAGAGTCGGACACTTAACCGACTGAGCCACCCAGGTGCCCTCATTTTAACATTTTAAAGCGTACAGTCCAGTGACATTTAGTACATTCACAGTGTTGTACAACCACCACCTCTATCAAGTTCCAGAACATTTTCATCACCTCAAGAGGAAAGCCTGTACCCAGTAAGCAGTCACTCCCCATTACCTCCTCCCCTGAATCCTTCGCTAAGAATGCTGCCCAGAAACACTGACCTAGGAAGTGGTGGCACTGGGACTTCTACCCAGAACACCAGAGCCCATGGGGGAGAACCCATTGGGGCTTTCTTTTCCCTGACCCTCCGGGACGGCATGTGCTCACTGCCAAGATACGCAGATTGAGGGTCAGGCATCGGCTCTCAGTCACAGAGGCCAAGATGGAGGCAAGAGCAAGAAGGGTGGGGGGAGGAGGGCAGGAGCTGGGCACTGCCCAGGAGATGCCAGGGATGCCTCTATCCTGGTGTGCCAGCTGCCTGGGCCTATTTCTTGTTGGTCTGTGACTCTCTCAAGGGCTAGAGGCTTAGGGGCTGCTTATCACTGAACTGGTTGCTTTGGCAACCCTGGGCAGGATGCAAGTGGTCTCCGTGGTAACGCCTGGGAAACCTGCCTATGGGGATGGAGGGAAGTGGACTGGCCAGCGGTCAGGCAGGGTGGCACAGGCAGAGCTGGGCTAGGCTGCTGAGATAAAAGGCCTTTGGGGAGGGTCAAGCTTATGGAATAGCCTGGGCTGCCTGTTGGCTATTCCCCAGCAAGCCAGAGTCCAGAGGCCCGGGGAACTGGGGGCCTGCCTGGCGACGCCAAAGGCACCAATGCCCAGGAAGTGGGAGGAGATGGGGGTGAGAGTGGGAAGGTGGGGAGAATATAGCTTCTGGATGACAGATCCAGCTACAGGGTTTATTAAAAGATGCTTATCAGAGGTCATTACCCAGATCCTGCTGTTTTGGGAAATGAGCAGGTGCTGACGCCCGTGGGGAGCCGGGCAGGGAGAAAAGAAGGTCTGGGAGAGGAGAAGGAAATAGATAAGAGTCACTGGCAGGCAGGTGGGAGGCCTTGGTTTTCTCTCTGCTCTAGCTGCAACTGGGGGTAGGCCGGGCTCTGCACTGGGCTCTGGAACTGAGGTTCTCCTAGGGTGAGAGTTGGGGTTCCAGGAATGCTCTGAC